TAGACGCTGGACTGCCCGAGCATTTGTTTCCGTACCGGCTGTCTGCCTATTACCTGGCGTCGCTAATAAACCCCCTTGTAAAGTGGTGAACATCTCCTTAAACACATTTAATGCAAAAAAAGGCACCTGTGAGATTCGTGCTTTAACTCTTCATAATGTTGCCTATATTTTGACACGATTATTTTAAAGCGGGCTGTCGTAGGTAAACGACTAATAAATAGTATAAAAAATCATCAAAATCAAGTCAGGCCTCATGAAAGTGCCTTCGAAAAGTGGGAAAGCATTGTCCCACTCGCTTATGAAGCCACCATCCCGCAGTAGCATCAACGGATATTTGGGAGGAAACGGCCGAAGCAAACGGCACAGCCTAAGAGAACCCGACTTTTGGAGAAGAATGTTTTGCTTACCTAATTTCTACCACTAGAACGCCCTCTACATCTTCACCTCTTGTGAGCCTTCGTGGGGCTGTAGCTGTCGAAACCGCCGGCTACTGCCACGGTTCCTGAATATGTGCCCACTGTACAAGAGCTTTGGGACGTAAAGCAAAATGCTTTCACATCATTCACACTTACGCTGCGTGACAAACGTAGCTTTGTGTTCGGGTGTATTCATCGGTCAATATATTGTGCAAATCGGCCAGAGCACTTGATGACTGGGAAGTAAAATTGTCATTCTGCAACTTGAAGAAAAAGAGAAAATCATTCAGGGGTTATTCTTCACATACAGTTATACAGTTTCGTTCACATGTTCTTTCTATCTGAAGATCAAATTGAGAATGTATAGTAACAATGTACTAAAATTCAACGCCATTGTAACAAATACCTAAAGTCTCTGAAACCATGATACAAAATTCTCGAGATTACAAAGACTTCTTTAAAGTATGAGTGAATTAGCGTGCACTAATGACAACTGATGCTGTAGTATCAATTGCGAAGTATTTGAAAAATTGGTCGTGACAATTGTGGAACTTGTAGAAGACCTATAAGATAAGAACCCTTTTTTTATTTGTTGAACTGATCTTGCACCATGCATTCTCGGAAGTGCTGCAACCGAAATAAATTGCGGGGCAAGAAAGCGAACTGTCAAGAAGTATAATGACCCCACCGCCTTAACGATTTCGGTTGTCTATAAAGCAGGTGTCACAGCTTGGAAAAACTCAGCGCCCCTTACGTCATGATCTATCCATGATGATGATGATGATGATGATGATGATGATGATAATGAAACTTTATTGGGATCCAGAGAAGACGCAGGGTATACGCCGTGTCACCCGGCCAGCCAAACTTGGTTCCAACTTCGTTTTGTTATGCATACCATGTTATGGAAATCTTCCACTTTGTTTTTCATGCTGTACAGCAATTGAGCACTAAAAAAGTTACATCGGCTATACAGCTGCGCATGAGTCACGTTGATTGCACAACCTGACCGCGACTTTCACCGTGTACGTAGATTTGCCTATTCAAAGACAGTTTTATCATGTTTAATTGGTGTGTTCATGTTGGAGGTGAATAGGCAATAATAGCCGCGAGGAGTTCGACATACTACCAGAAACGACAGGAAAAGTAATGAAAACACCAGAAGAAATGCAAAGAGGCAAAACCACTGGTGAGAATAAGGTAACAACATATACCTGCTCAAAGGTGGCGGCTGATCATCTTACTGTTCATTTTCTGCAAACTATTTTCAAAAATACCAGCTAATGAAACCAGGCAACATTAGAGCTCAAGCAACCAAAGTACCAAGCAGAATTTCGTACAGGCTACTCCACGATATAGCATATTCATACTATTTATCAGGTGATGAAGAAATCGCCGAGTACAACCAACCTCTGTAAATTGCCTTCCCATATTACGTTAAAACGTTTGACTCGGTCGCAAAATGCGCAGTGATGCAGGCACTAAGAAATCAGGGCCACACCGGGCGTATTTTCGCATCTTTCTTTCCCCACTTTTCCCCCTGATAGCGTTGCGTAGCAAATCAGTTTTTCGGGTATTCTCCCTGCCTATCATTCATTGCTCCCTCTTTCTCTGTTTTGTGGCCTATTCGTGCCATGATCGTCGCTCTAACGAAAGCGCAGTTTTTGAACTTGATTCGTGACCTTGCTAGTACGTGAGAACATAAACAAAAAAGGGTTATCTCAGACCATGCAGGCATACTTTATGGGATGCCAGTGATATCAATTATGATGACGTGATAAATTTTAAAACAGGCGTTGTTGCTGCGGCTGACCTTTGGACAAGAAAATTACTCTTCGTAAAAACAGCAAGTCTGCTTTAGAGAAACGCTGGCTTCTGACAGACTCTCAGCTGGAAGAATTCTCATCACTTCAAGTCTCCATTTGTCTCTATACTAGAGCATTAAGACCTTCACGTATGTCATTTAAGATGAAATTGTTCCAAGGACATTGGGGCGCAGAGAAGACGTAGTCTTGTGATTCGAAGAAAATGCGTGCCTATCGACAGAGGGTGGGATGGGACATTATTTAATCCTCTCTTCCCCCTCCTCGCGGAAGGAAACTGCATGCAATAAAGGTTTATGGATTCATTCATAGGTGTGTATCATGGTTGACTAGAGCAAGGCAGTTTAGGCATTCACTTTTGAATATCTTCTCGTTTGTTTCGATCCAGGAAGACTGTCATTCAACGCGAAACATATCCCGTGTGATAAAGCCGTCGATTGGCTCATGGAAATTGTAGCTTTTTTTTTTTCACTCGGGAACAAGGGTGTGTCACTCGCCACAGTGGTTTTGAGATGCTCAACTGCTGATCCGCACGTTGCAGAATCAAATCCCGCCCGCGGCGGCTGCATTTTAGATGGAGGCTACAATGTTTGGGTCCTTTGCATTTGCATTTAAGAATTCTAACTGCTCAAAAAATTTCGCAGACAACTACGGCTCTTCATAATCAGACGGTGGTTTCGGAACGCTGAACCCTTCCTAGCATCGTTTGTGTAACAAAAGACTCCGGTAAATTGTGATGGACACACCTTTAAATGACATTCCCCAGAGAAAATGTGCACCGGGTTTTCTACCTGGCCGGAGTTAATGATGTTTCTCAACACCCGAAGACCTTATTATCGAAAACACAGTGAACGGATTTGAAAAAGAGACAAATGCTTTAGGTGACAGGCCAGCAAGTAATAAAGCTTTAATGACGAGTGATATTTGAAGCGTCGCAAAGAAATACCGATGGAAGAAGTATACGGCGATCGTTGCTACAAAACACCCCACTTGTCTGATTCCTTGGTCGTTGCACACGCGAACGTTTTAGCTAAGATGACGTCACATGAAGAAATATGAAAGGTCTTTCTACAAAATAGGGTGCCAATTGGCACATGCGTATTTGTCCACCATGCATGGACTCTGCTGACCTAATTGCCAATGCAAGCGCAGCTACTTTGTCCATCGTACGTATTAGGGAAATATAAACAAAACATAAATTGTGCACTACATTTTCCGAGGTGCGGTAATACACCGTTTTGCGAAAACTTATGTACGCGACGAATACCACTGTCACAGGTCCCGTTAATTAGGAAGGCGATCGCCGGGCTTATTCCAAGGGCCGAAATATCGGCCCCCGGAACTGCACCACGAAAGCGAGGACAATTTAGAAGTGGTCCTATTTGGCGCGCCAGCGGACGCCGGCTGTGAACCAAAGAACAAGTCAGAGCCGAGAGTTGATAAACAAAACAAAATTATATTCTCAATTACGGCAAATCGAACCGAAACGAAAATATGCACACTTGAAACTAGTTGAATAAGAAATGTCGCCAATCAAACAACGCACTTTACGGTACAATGAGCTACACTCGAAACAACGGATACAAACAACAATACGCGCTACAATGCAATCACATGCATCGACCAACCAAGGCACTCAAAGACTAAAGAGTTTGAAAACTTATTCAGTCCGAAGTCCTTGGAACAAAGTCTGAATGATACTCTTCCACGAATCATTCACTTAAACTCCAGCGCTGTTGTTCCGTTGCCTCCGACGTTTCTCTTCCAGGAAACCTGTCGTCTTCAATTGGCCGCTCTCCAAGCACCCACTTCGCCGGTAACACGTCGGCTTCCCACGCGTTGAGATTGCAGGACGCGTCTTCGCTCTCTGGCGGTAGTCTCCAGCTCTTCTGCTTGTAGCACGAGTCTTCACCCCTCAGGGGGAAATCCTCTTCATCACCTGCTTTGTCGCTAAGGACAAAACCTTCGTTGACGACACGGCGGAAACACTTTACGCACTCTGGCGCATACTTTCTTCTTCTGTTCATCGCCTTTCTCCGCTGCTCGCTTAAATACCTTTCGCACTAGATTTCAGAAAATGCTCATCGTTTCGTCGGCGCGATGCACAGTCAAGGCTGGGGAAAGAGCGAGACGTGTCGAGGGCCATCCGCTACACGTGACGCAACTCTGCATCACCACGCCCCTTTCCTTCGAGAACCTTTCAGGGCTGGCTCGGCCGCCGATGTGAGGAGGATGGCCGGCGAGACTACGCTTCCGAGAGGGGAGAGATGGCGCGTCCGGGGAGCCTTTGTATGTTGTTTTCTCCTTTATCGTTAACCTTGAGGCGCCTTTCTGCGCTTGGTATTGTTACTGTCGCTAGAATTCGATGGCGCGCGCTTTTTCGGAGCGCTCGTTTGTTACAACCGCTTTTCCACCAAAGCAGAAGAAAACAACCTTTTTTTGTAGTTGTTTTCGTATATGCACCTCTAAACGTTGCTTTCAAAGTACCTTTTTATGAGTGGAGTGCCTCTAGACCCAAATAAAATTCCAAAAATGACGTCGAGCGTGCCGTGGTGACCAAGGCGTGTTTAGGTGTAGGAAAACAGGTGCAAACGACCCCGCTTTCCTGAACAGACGCTGTAAAAAAAGCGTAGGCGGAGAGTAGTAAGAAATATTTTATCTGTATGCTGAGTAAAAAGTTGACGACGAATAATCAAAGCGGATCCTCTGCCAAAAGAGCTCCGATAGTGTCGGAGCTCTTCCTAACCGAGCGAGGAACTCGAGAAATGATCTGCGCACGCGCTTTGATGGTTCCTCTTCTCACCTTTGGCATCGTCACGTCGGGTGTCGCGGAGAGGTCATTCAAGATCGACTACAACAAGCACACCTTTCTGAAGGACGGCAAACCCTTTCGGTTTGTCGGTGGCTCGATGCACTACTTCCGAGTTCCCAGAGCGTACTGGGATGACCGGCTCCACACGTTGCGCATGGGAGGACCGAACGTGGTAGACTTTTACATCGACTGGAGCGGCCACGAGCCCGAACCCGGACAGTACAACTTCGCCGACAACTACGACCTGGTCGCCTTCCTGGAGGCCGTCAAGAAGGCCGACCTCCTGGCGATCGTCAGGCCGGGACCCTACATATGCGGCGAGGTGGACAATGCGGGCTTACCTTACTGGCTGCTGCGCAAGCACCCGGACATGGAGTACCGAACGATGCACGATGACTACATGCTAGAAATGGGCAAGTGGTTCCAGAAGTTGCTGCCGATGCTGGTTCCGTACCTCTACAAAAATGGCGGGCCCATCATAATGGTACAGGTCAGTGTCAGGACATGAGGTTTACTGAGCCAAAGTTTAGATGTGCAGAGTGGCCTAATCTCAGCTAGTTTGGCCGACATCATGAAATGAAGTCCAGAAAGAACCGAGACATCAAAGAAGATCAAAAAGCGGAAGAATGAGGGGTATTTTGTAGGAAAATATTTTTTTGCAAATAAGCTTTTCATTCTGAGAAATTCGTACGGATTTTTTTTGTTGTTTCCTGCAAGAAATATTGATTGCCTATTTTTTTTAATCTATTGTAGATCCGTGTGCTCAGATTTGGGTGCACGTTAAAGAACCCCAGGTGGTCTAAATTTCCGGAGCCCTCCACTACGGCGTCTCTCATAATCATATAGTGGTTTTGGGACGTTAAACCCCACATATCAATCAATCTTTTTAATCTAGAATTAGATTAAAATTGTTCTTGAAGAGCACAAGGTGGCTATTAACACAATAAACAGCTGTTTGTCTAGAGTCCCCTGGCAATTTCGAGCCGGCTACTTTCTATATAAATTCGCATGAGGAGTTTACCGAAGTCAAAGGCTCCAAAAACAAGGATTTTTTTTCTTGAAAAGAAAATTAACACGTCTTCGCCCCTCAGGTAAACTTCAATTTCTAAAATGTTTTGCGAACTTCGGCGACTTTGAGCGTATCTATCTATCTATCTATCTATCTATCTATCTATCTATCTATCTATCTATCTATCTATCTATCTATCTATCTATCTATCTATCTATCTATCTATCTATCTATCTATCTATCTATCTATCTATCTATCTATCTATCTATCTATCTATCTATCTATCTGTCTATCTGTCTGTCTGTCTGTCTGTCTGTCTGTCTGTCTGTCTGTCTGTCTGTCTGTCTGTCTGTCTGTCTGTCTGTCTACGACATTTAGCTCTCCTGGCCGTTTCGATAATGGTATCAATACCAAACTTAGTTTGGAAGAACATGACCGTATGAAGAACATAGTTGACTAGTCATAACATGAAAATTATGACATGTATATCATGAATGTCATGATATACATTTTATGGTCCTGCAGCTCTTGCGGTGATTCCGTTCATATGGCATGTTACAAAACTGTTATAGTATGGCATGATTCCATGGCGAACACAAGCGACAGACCCTAACGTAGAAATCATGACATGCATGTCATGTAAGTCATGAGTCATGACTACACGCCACGCCCATGATGCGCTCGCAGCCGTCTCGCTAGCTTCACATATGCCGAATTCGGCGTTACGTGATGCGAATGAATGACGAAGGTATGTGACTGGTGCAACATGATAATTATGAGATGCGTGTCATTTAACATTATGACTACAAGCCACACTTATGATGCACTCGCAGCCATTTCGCTAGCTTCACGTGCACCAAATTTGATATTACGGGACGTGAATGGACGACAAAGGAATGTGACTAGTGCAAGCATGATAATCATGTGATGCATGTCATGCAACAACATGACTACATGCTACGCTCATGATGCGCTCACGGCCGTCTCGCCAGCTTCATACGTACCAAATTCAGTACTACGTGACAAGAAAGGACGACATGCAAATGACATGTCCAAAAAATGATAATCATGACATACGTGTCATGTAACAACGTGACTACATGCCGCACTCATGAGGCGCTCGGGGCCTTTTCACTAGATTTATGTATGCCAAATTTGGTATTACGTCACATGAATGGATGACGAATGTATGTGACTGGTGCAAACGTAATAATTATGAGATGCGTGTCGTGTAAGAGCATGACTACATGCCACACTCAAGGTGCCAATACACTTAGACGTTATCCAGTCTGCGTGTGGTCAAGCGTTCGTTTCGTGGCGTCATGCCAGCGATGCCACGCCAGACGCTGGCATATACTCGCAGGCACGCGCCGCACTGCGTTGCTTTGACGCAGGCACGTTTTAGCACGCCCGGCATCGCTTCGTCACGAAGCTAGACAGACGTGGTGCATTCTGAGTAACGTGGTTGGTGCGAAATGCAGCATGTCGCATTTGGCACCGTTTGCCGCCGGGCTGCGCCGACAGACGCTGGTCGCGTCTGGCGTCAGACTATAGAGTGCTCGCGTTTTGCTAGCGTAGCCTCACTGCACCCAGCGTGCGCTCGTCAACGTAGCGTCGCAGTATATTGGGCCCTTCGTGATTCTCTCCCCGCCGTTTCGCTATAGCTCCACACATTCCAAGTTTGGTAATGCGGGACGTGAATGAACGACGAAGGTATGTGACTGGTGCAAACATGATAATTGTCAGATGCGATTCATGTAACTACATGACCACATGCCACGCTCATGATGCACTCGTGGTCGTTTCTCTAGCTTCACAAATACCTAATTGGTATTGCATGACGTCAATAGACGGCGAAGTTAAATGACACGTCCGAACATATTTGGGATATGCATGTCATGTAAAACATGACTACATGGTACGCTCATAGCACACTCGTAGCCGTTGCGCTAGCTCCAGAAACTGAATTTTGTATCAGGTGGCGTGAATAGATGATGAAAGTAAATAACACGTCCAAACATAATAATAATGACATGGAAGTTATGTACGGCATAACTTACCTCCACCTCGTAATGTTGTTTTGATTTTAAACTGACATATAAACCTTCCTCATTGGTGCTTCACATAACATCGATTCCCACTGTACGTGGGATCTGCCAGTTCTTTTTGAAGATGAAATTGTAAGAATTTCCTTCAAATTTAACATAATGCTAATGGCCCTTCTGATGGCCAGCTCAAAACGAAAATTTCGCTACAAATACCTTGACGTGTGGAAAGTGCAATTTTGTTGTTTTAACTATAACACTTTATATCGCTTAGATAATTATTATGAACCGAAGGCAAGCAATTAGTATAGGTTGAGCATTAAGGCTTCTCACAATACTCTTTTTCTTGCTCATTAGATATCTTATACACAGTTTCTTGTTAATTATTTGCGTTCTGCACGTAATGTGGAGCAATGTGGACTAATAATTGTTCATAACCAGAGAAGTTCGTGGCATAGAAAGTGTGTAAAAAAAAAAGCCTTATTTTACACGTTGCAATGGTAAAAATGAAAACTATACACCTTTCTATAAAACTGATATATTTTAAACCAGCATAAAAATCTATGTAGACAGCCGCAATTCTATTAATTCAGGCTGTTATTCAAAGATTCTTTTTTTTTTTTGAGTAGCATCTCCCGTTAACGTACGAACGAGCGAAATAGGTAAAAGGGCCTGAAAGTGTTACCACTTCAGCCATCGAGAGGAACTTAACGAAAGGAAATGGGGACGCGGAAGAAGCAGATGACTGTTTGCAGCCGTACGGCCTTGTTATCGAAGCTATCTCTTGTTTCTTTTCAGTCTCCACTGATGGCTCTTTTGCACGACGCCTCCACACTGCCGGCTAGTGTTTGTGGCTTGACTATTATCGACCTCCTCAACTGTTTTCATTGTGACAAATGTTGTGACACGCTGTGACACATTGTGACACATCATTGTGACACATTGTGACACGCTGAAGCTCTATTAGAATTGCTCAGGTCGCAGTTTTATAGACTTGACGAATGCGATATGGCACTGAAAAAAAAAGCAATCGTTCACGCCGAAAAGGATGAAAGCCTCCAATGATATGAAAGTCGAGCAATAGCCTGTAATATCCTTAACAGTGCCGGGCGTCATTCTCGAAATCGATATGTACATTCCCGAGTAAAAGAGTTCTCGAATGTTACAAGTGTTTATTGAGCTGTATTCGCACGACGGACCAAATCGTGATTCGAATCTGCGGATTGCATACTGCGTCCCTATACGTCAGCCGTTCTCGCGTTTCCGCTTCGGTACGCGGGGACTAATTTGGGAAATGACGGAAGTGCAAATCGCTGTTGAAATCTTGAACAAGGGTGCCAGGCTAGTTGGTACTCTATTGCAATAATTGGGTGTAGCGCTGCGTGAAAAATTGTAAGAAAAAGTAGTTGACATGAAAGAGGTGCTCTGACAGGAAAGCGCCACTTTTTTATCAACTACGTTTTCTTAAAAATTAGTACGTTGGACTACACCCAAATTGTTGGGATCTTAGGTAACCAATTCTGAAATCCTCGCTTGTAGCGTGAATTATCCTCCGTCGTGTGAATGCTGGCTGCGGAGGGATCTAAATTACGTCGCATCGCTCGCCATTGATGCGTCCGCGCTCACGTCTGTCTTGTGAATACAGCTTCACGAGCTGGTACAGAAACTCACTGCAAGCGATCGTCTAGAGCAACGCAACAGAGAGTTGGTTACTTACTCCTCCGTGCCCACTAATGCAGGTCGAGAATGAGTACGGCCATCTCGAAGGTCACTGCGACCCCTTATACATGGATGTCGTATTGTCCCTCCAGCGGGTGCTTTTAGGCATGGACGTAGTCATGTTCCGCGCCAACGCACCATCTATGGAACGATACAATTGTGACAAGGCGCGACAAATCTTGGTGGCCGGCAACCTCGACCCCATGAGCAACGTAAGCAAAGACTTTGACGTCATTCGCCAAGCACAGGTCAAGCCGGGGGCTCCCATCGTAGTGAGTGAGTACTACACCGGTTGGATGAACTACTGGGGCTGGGACGACAATCCGGCCTATCCACCCATGATCGTCGAAACCTTCGAGAAGATGATGGAACAGGGGGCCAACGTTATTTTCTACATGTTCCACGGAGGCACGAACTTCGGCTTCAAGGCTGCCACCAGCTCAGAATCGCCGTTGGTAACGAGCTACGACTACGACGCGCCCATGGGAGAAGACGGCGACCCAAAGACCTACTACTTCTTACTACGCAAATCAATCGGCAAGTACATTCCGCTCAAATCCGGGGAGCTTCGTAAGCCCTGGCCCAAGTTGAAGATAGACGCCATTCGCATGCCGCACAGCAGGTCCCTGACGGACGTAATGGCACACTTCAGAGATAAAGGCTGGCTCAAGCGAAGAAGGTCCGAGTATCCGTTGACCTTCGAAGAGCTCGGCCAGGACTTCGGGTTTCTTTTGTACCGCACTGTGTTCATGGCCGGCCCGGATGGCCGGTACTTAATGGCGCTTCACGGTCTCCGCGACATGGCGCAGCTGCACGTGCGTGACGAACGCTACTTCATGCGCATATTCGACACCGCACGCCTGCCAGCCAAAACTGATTGCGACGTGATGCTCAGGTTGGGCGAGAGGCTGTCCATCCTGGTGGAGAACATGGGCCGCGAAGACTTCGGTCCCAAGAATCGCGATCCGAAGGTGAGTGAGTAGGTCTTGTATACCCGGTAATGACGAGTCAAATGTATGCTTGACTTATCTAGCCAACTATGCCTTTGGTTCCACCCTTAGCCTTTGCTCTCCCTACCACGGGATTGTTACATAGAGGCCCAGACAGCAGCACTCACTCGTTTTTGTGACGCTAACCATTTCCCGCGAATTCCAAGAAGCGCATATACTCACACAAACGTGTTGGTGTCACAGCTCTTAATTCGACAGATTCAACTGATTGGCATGGTTAATCGAATATTCTCATTCGTTGTTCCGGTAAGCATGATAGCTTAATCAGAGAAGATGAAACATTGATTACTGATATCTGTAGTGTTCACATTAGGGGGAAAACACGCTTACCGGGACAACGGAAAAAACAAGCCCCGACTCTTTTACACAGATGAATGACATGGGCATCGCAGTTGTGTATGTTATTGAGGCGACAATCCTTAAGGCTCGTGCGCACTTGCGAATTCTCGGTCCAAAGCAAGCGGAACTCTTGCGCCGCCGACATTCCACGTCATTCACACTGCTTACCGACCACACCACCGAAACGACATATGGATCCAAAACGCGAAAATGAAATGTCAGCGTCTGCAGCGTCGGCGGCATCAGCGGCGTCGGCTTCAACAAATGATCGAAAAAAAAAGAATATAACGTTATAAAGTTGTCATAGCGTCACAGAACACAAAACTTTCTGAAAACATGATGACAACGCAAGACGACGCCCCCCCCCCCCTCCGCGCATTGCATCATCGCTTGGTTAATTGTGGGCCGACCAAAACCAAGTAAGGTGCACAAAGCATGTGAAGCCTATAATCCTTGAGGTATTAAGAAACCTCGTTAGGTGTAGAAAACTGTCGGAAGAGAGCAGGGGTACCATTAGTGCATCGATTGAGAAGAAAAATCATACGACTACGGCCTTCGACTTCTCATAAACGAAGGCATAAGGGACCTTGAGAATATTATTAGGATATGAATTATATGGGCACTCTCGACAGCTTTTCGTGATTGATTTATAAGTATATAGGCATATATAAGCCACAAAGTGGAACATATATGCCAGAAAGAATTCCACCGTATCCACGAAGGGAACGACGGTCACCTTATCATTAACCAACGCGAACAGCACTTGGTTATGCATAGACGTAACACGTGTGTGCAGTATATACAAACTTGTTTAGTGATCACAATGTGCATATGATGTTATCAATATGGATATGAATTTCCATATGTATTTCCATATCCATACAGATATGGATAATCACGTGGAAATGAATATACATATGGACATTCATACGAATATCCATATCCGTGTTGATATATATATATATATCGCGGAGGCCTAGTGTCTAAGGTACACGGCTGCTGACCCGCAGGTCGGGGGTTCGAATCCTGGCTGCGGCAGCTGCATTTCTGATGAAGGCGGAAATGTTGCAGGCCCGTGTGCTCAGATTTGGGAGCACGTTAAAGAACCCCAGGTGGTCTAAATTTGCGGAGCCCTGCACTACAGCGTCTCTCATAATCATATGGTGGTTTCGGGACGTCAAACCCCACATATTAATATATACATATATATATATATATATATATATATATATATATATATAAATTATGAAAACGAATATCCATAGCATGTCACGCTGTTTCAAGCTGCTTGCCGTCCTTAACAAGTCTTTGCAATATGTTACTGTTGCTGAAACAACGCACCATAAACGCTGAATTACCTCTGCAAGGACACGTTTCATCTTTGTATTATTGCGATTCTTATATATAGGGGGAAGCCACGTTTATTAAGTAGTTACCGACTGTAAGAACGTGCTCTTTTACCCAGGGAATTAAGAACGTGACTGTGGACGGCATCACCCTGACTGACTGGATCATCGAGGCCCTGCCTCTGACACAGAAGAGAGACATTAACGAACTCTTCCAGCTCATGCGGACGCCCAGAAACAGCCAAGGCAACATACCACACTTCTACTACGGTTGGTTCACGTTGCCCAAGGGACAGAAGCCACTGGACACGTTCCTCGACCCGTCAAACTACACGAAAGGTGTGGCGTTTATTAACGGCTTCAACCTGGGGCGCTACTGGCCGGCAGTCGGGCCGCAGATAAGGCTGTACGTTCCCGGAATCTACATCAAGCCGTATCCCGAGAAAAACAGGCTCATCTTGTTCGAATTGGAAGGGCTTCGCACTAATCACCCTGACCGAGGTGTTAGCTTTGTTGATAGGCCTTACCTCAACGCTATTGCGGGACAGCCTCACCCTTAGCGGGAAGACCAGAAAGGCAACTAGCAATACTTGAAATTACCGAGTGTTTATTTCGTTGGAGTTCAGTCTTTACGAAACGAACGCCAAAGGTCAGGCTAACAGGTCCCCAGAAGACCACCGACAAGGGCCCCGGTCATTGATATATTTCACTGTATCAATCGACGGTAGGCGAACGCCTTTTGCAAACTGGAATTTCATTGTTGTTACGCATCATCATCCAACTTTGTTCACGAGCACGTTCAGTCTACTCAATAAACGTGTATTTTTTTCACGCCTTGTCATGCCACATGACTGATCCATGAAGTTACCTCTAAAACACGTTCGTTTTAGAGAAGAAGAGAGAATGGGTGTGGTTGTAGTCCTTTTTACCACTTAGGTGATCGAGGGGTCAAGTGGTATATATATATATATATGTCTAAACTTCGCAGCTCCGTACTGTAGCATTGCATACACCATTCCAATTATTCTGCATGTTTCTTTATTTCTTTACAAAATCTGAGCACTGATGTTGAGAATAATAATAACAGTGAAGCTTCTTACGCTAGCTGTAATTTGTGCGACCTACGAGTAAACTATATTACCATCACAAACGAGTATGTGCCACAGAACTCGGGTAAGTCTCGCAGCTCACCGCTCATCCACAAGAAATAAAGCGGCAACACTGAGCCGAACGAATGACTGCGATGCGACGGCGCTAAGTGTAAGACCACAAGTACGTATGACAAAATACCTGGAAACAGGAGAAGGCAATGGTGTCTGCGATAAGAACGCAAAATCGAGGGAAGGCCTACGCCGTTGACGACGTGCTTGTAGATCTATGAGAGGTGTGAACGCTTCGTTTCAGCGCGAGTTTCAATCCATAGAATCTGCACATCCGTATCGTGACGGCCTTTGGTTTAACTCGAACTTCTATATACACTGAGAATCAACGTGAGAACATTCTAGATTCACCGATTTAAAGCGTATACCAACGACATAGAAGCGACCTGGAAACAGCCCGCATCGGCTAGATAAGGCTTCCGAACCACCTGGAAGGCAGTAGATCAGTCTATATTAGTCTACTTTATAGATTAGTCTAGATTAGTGCCAGCTCATTAGCATAGTTCAATATGTATCTGTTTGGGGGTGTTGGTAACACATGTATAGTAATGTTCAAGCGCACAAGCAGACAATGGCCGTGAGACCCGCTGGCGCTAACTTGCAACACCTATTCTGTGCAAAGCTATTCGCAACGCCCCCGAACAATAGGTGGGCGCTGTGCGATAATGATGGCACTCAGACGAGGCCTCAACCCATTTGTTGTCTCCGAACAGAAGCAAGTGTGGACTTACAGCCCGTGCTTCTTTCATCGGATGAAGTGATGGGCTTCACTGAAACGGACTGTGGCCGGCGGCAACAATTCACGCCTCCCGGCGTGTATTGCGGTCGTGACTTCATGTTTCGTTGCTCTAACAGTTTCGTTTTGCTGATCGAGCCAGAGCGTGTTGGCGGCATGGGGCACTTCGTGATATACATACACAATAATTGCGCTAAATGCAATGCATAAGAAAAATGATGTTTATTTTGATCTTGATGAAGGATAATAAACAATAAATGCCATCAACGTGACTCACGGTCGTGAAAAAATCATTAACGCATGGTGGGATGTAAAGCACAACTCACTCCTTGAGAGTTGGCGGTAACTCGGTGCTTCATCCACCTTTTACGTCCAGTGAAAAAAAAACATACTGGATGAGAAGACATTTTTGTTAGCATCACTGCTGAAAGCAATTGGGTGAATTTCCTCCACCGATCGACTTCGACCACTCACGTCACTACGTT